ATTGCAATCAGAAGAGCATCCACCGCTCCTGCTGCGTTCGGAAATTTCTCCCAGTGCCCGAGTGCTGTTCCGTAGCTCGGGTGTTGCCAGCTAAAAGCATTGCCTGTACTGAGGAGACGGGCTGCACCGCTTCTCGGCAGTCCTTGAGAAGTGCCAGGCAAGATTTCATTGACAATTTAAGAAAGAATCATCCTTCCCCGGTACGCAGCTGCCCAGCTCCTACCCGCCGCTCGTTAGACTGTTTATGCCAAACATGGGTTCACAAACAAAGCGCCGGTGCTCTCCTCTGTGGCGGTGGCAGGGATCTCTGGGAATGTTTAGTCAAAAGAAGTTACCGAAGCTGCAGTGATATTAAATCTTAGTTTATTGTTACAATTCATTAAATGTTGTCTGTACTGTTACGAAGCACCTGCTGCCGTGTATGATTTTTATTGTATACATCCTCCCACTAGTAGATTAGTTTTGGCAAGCTTCTAGTCCTCTGTGGTTTTATTTATACTAAACGTTTCCTTCAAACAATCATTTCGTTCCCATTAAAAAATAGAAGTTCTGAGGTTTCTCCTCTCTCTCCTTTCCAGGATTCATTTAACTGACCTGGGGCGTCTCAGCGTGGGACACCAGGGCTGCCTGCCCCCACCTTGCTCCTGGCCAGCGCCCTCGCTGGCTTTCCCAGGAGCGCTTTGGCTCCGGCTGAGCTGGCCCGATGCCCGAATCGGCTTGTGTGGGTCTCCCCTTGCCAGGTGCGTGTCCTGTGTCACGGCTCCTGCGGCAGAGAGGTCGGCCTTTGCAGCTCTTTGGTGTGGTGCCCGTTGTCCCACCCCAGTTCGGATGTGCAGCCTGTTTATGATGTTCCATAGCCAGATCTTGAGCTCCGAGCTGCAAAGTCTTGGAAAGCCAGAGAAGGGTCTGAGCGTGCATCGGAACTTTTTTTGCAGGTGCCGTTCCCCTTGCCCTCTGTTGCCAAAAAAAGGAGATACCTTGGCGGGGGGGAGGTTTCTCTGGGGTGGATTAGGTGGGTGGCACTGGTAATTCCAAGTGTTACAGCGAGTGTTGGCATCTCATAGAGGGAAAAGTCCTTATGGTACGCGTGTTGTGAGACTTCAAAGTCAAGTTTACAAGGGCAGGGAGCGACAGGCCAAGGGGAATGGCCTGAAGCTGCAGGAGGGGAGATGGAGATGGGATGGGAGGCAGCAATCCTTCCCTGGGAGGGTGCTGAGGCCCTGGCACAGGGTGCCCAGAGAAGCTGTGGCTGCCCCTGGCTCCCTGGCAGTGGTCAAGGCCAGGTTGGATGGGGCGTTGGGGCACCTGGGCTAGTGGAGGGTGTCCCTGCCTATGGCAGGGGGGGGACTGGATGGGCTGGGAGGGCCCTGCCCTCCCCAACCAGTCTGTGAGTCTATGATTCTATGAAGTCTTAGCTGTTCAAAGTCACCAGGCTGCTGCTGCACCCCGTGAGTTTCTCCTTCGCAGGGTCGAGCAGCCTGGAGCCCGGGAGCTGCGTTAACAGCCCCTGCAAGGCGGCATCTCCACACTGCAGCGTACGCGGTGCCAGCCAAGGCAGGAGGTTTGCCAGTGAAGAGAGGAGAATGCTTTCCGTACGTTTACTTAGTTTCTGCCCATTATCTGTCTCTATCCCCCTCCTCCCAGTCTGGCTAATTCTTCCCTCCTGTGTTTCACTGTTGATGGGAATAGTATGTGCCAGTCCCCGTGAAGATCCAAGTCTAGACGTCCATCCTCCTTTAGAAAACATCTGAAGTCAAGGACGTGCATCCCTAAGAGTAAGAGAAACAGCTTTAACTTTTTAATGTTTCCAATACTAGATGCAAACCCAAAAATAGAACAAAAAAGTTTCTTTGAAACATCCCTCCCTCCTCTCCAGCATGACAGCCTTTGAGTTTCTCAAGGGAGGTGTGTTGTGCATTGTCAACTCAAGGCCACCGGTTTTTAAAAGGGAGACGCTGTCCTCCCCTTCCGCCCAAGGGTTCTGAGATGCGTGTGAGCGGCTCGAACGACTGCGTTGGGAGCAGCTGAAGTGGGAACATGAAGGCTGCTCTTAGGGTGCTTTTGCTGTGCCTGGTGCTGTCGCTCCCCTCTGCAGCGCTTCCGAGAAAGGGGGACGCGGAGGAAAGGATTTCCCCAAGTAACCGGCTGGAGCTGAGCCTGCCGGAGGAGCTGGGACTTGAAGCACAGGAGAGAAAAAGAGAAAATGCAAGTTTACAGGAAAAAGTGAGACCCAGCTCGGCAGCAAGATCAAGGGTGACTGCTGCTGCTCGCCTCTTCTCTAAGCCTGACCCAGGAGCAAGATGCCTCCAGGGGATGGCTGAGGGTGGGGGCATCGGCTGGTCCGGCTCCAGCCTGCACCCCTGGCCGCTGGGGGGGCTGGAAGGGCCCGTGTGCAGGGTGAAAATGGACCAGGACGGGCTGACCCCCAGGCACCTGGAAGTTGTGGGTGTCCTCACCCACTATGAAAGCAACTTCATCAAGCTGTTGAGACAACGCACCAGCTGGGATGAAAGTTATCTCGAGACCTTCGGGCTCTGCCCAGCCGGGGAGGTGGGTGCCACTCTCCATCCCCTGAAGCACATCCACGCGCACGTGGTGGAGCCAGGGCAGGACCGCTTCCTCGTGCTGCATCTGGAGGAAGGTTGGTGTGAAATCCCTGCTCTGAGGCTGAGCAGAGGGGGGGCGAGCACAGGGCTCGGGGAGGCCGAGGCTGTTTTCTTGCCCTAAATCAGAGATTCCTCCCCTCCCCGGTTTTGGATTTTCAGCTGAACTTGCCAGTGCCGGGCAGATGGGGAAGTGGCTCTTCCTCAGGCAGGGCTGGGGCTGTGATGCAAGGGCCACGATGTCCCTGAGCCACCAGAGCAGCTGCCATGGGAGAAGGGATTTCTATGGGGATCTGACCATGAAAATTTACCAGAGCCACTCTGGGAGTGAGGCAGCCACCTCCCTGCAAATGGGGAAGGGGATTTGCCGTATCCCTCCACCCTGTCGGCTCCCGCCCCAGATGCTCTGGTCGCTGCGTCGGACAGGTGCTCGGCCCCGAAGCCCCTTCCTCACCCACCATCCCCCCAGGAGCCCCGCAGCCGCCGGAGGGGCGATTCACCCGCTCTGTCCTCTCCTTTCCAGTGAAGTGGGAAGCCCAGGCGAAGCTGTGGTTCAAGCTGGTTTTCCAGGCAGAGGTGGGCCGGTCGCTGGGAGAGCTGCGCTTCGCCTTGCTG